ACAGCGAGCCGGCACTGGACGGCGTGCAGCTGCGGCAGAAGGCGGTGGCATCGCCGAATGCGCAGACCATTCACGTATTGTTTGCAGCTCGAGGAGATCTTCACTTCGAGAAACTTCGCCTGTCGCCGCTCTCCGCTTCGAGCGCTATGTTTTGCCGTTTTCTAGCGAGTTTGAAGAGCGGAGAGCGAGTCAAGTAAGGCGGTCTGCTATCGATTGCCAGACGCTTTGCGTCTGCGTGCTGTTTGTGCTGATCTCGCAAATTTTCCACTCACGATCCCTCCTATTTCACACTCACTGCTCGGTCTCGCTTTTCCTCGTTCCAGCAGTTAGCACTGCAGGGCTGCGCGATTTTTTTGTGTTTATTTGTCGCGCTTATCTGAAGCGTTATCGCCGCTGCCAGTTCCTCGTCTCACTCAGAGTTCCACGCGCTATATCTATTGTGTTCCCTTTGCTCTGTTTATTTTAAAATGTTTTGATCGCTTGCTGTTGCAGGATGAAGGAAGAGTCGACCGGGTGCCAAGGCCAGCTGCCTGGGGCATGGTTCTACGAGATGGGTGATGACGCCTCCGCTTCACCCACCTTCGATCTGGAGGAGATGGGTCCTTTTCGGGGCATTCTCAGCTCAAGGAATTGCTCGGAGAGCGTCGAGGTACCCAGCAGTGAGCATGTGGCCGAAATCGTCGGCAGACAAGGTTCGTTGACCGCTTCCCACTCTATCACTGCTCCACGTCCTTCTTATCTAATACGTCCTGCATTTCACATGTGTTTTCTTTCGATATTAGCCTATTTAAAGAGGCGAATCGATGTTTTCATTGAACATTCTCTGATATCGCGTTCAAACCAGCATATCGTAGTTTCGCGGGCAATTTCAAATATCGTTCCTCGTTGTTTGCTGTTTAGAAGTAGTTTTCATCTTTGAAGCTGCGAGCTCTTGCAAATGAAGTTGAAACTCCTCTAATCCTTATTTTTAAAGCAGAACTTACTCTTTTGTGGGGTTTCTCCTCAATTTCACTTTTAGTATGGCAACCTAGGTTGAACTGCAATCCCGGATGTGTATTACTTTTGTATGGTTACTGTAGCCAGCAGTGGTGTGTTGTGTGTGAGCGGCAATTACCTCGATTCGCTGCGTTGACGAGCTTTGCCCGTCCGCAAGTTGCTCTCCGTCTTTCGCGCCTTTCTTTGTCGTCTGCGCTTCCTCGCCCATCGTGCCCTCTCGTTCTATTTCGCCCATCACTCCGCTTCTTTCGTATAACTTGCCAGTGCTGGAGTAGCAATTCTAGCAGTAAATTTAACAAAGGGGCCAAAGACTATTATCTATTGTAATATGCTGCCTGGTTGTTTACGGATGCGACCGTGTGCACAAAGAATTCGCTTCATTACGCATAACGCGGTGACATTTCACTTTAATTAGACTGCGTTGTGCATTAGGTGCGAAAACTGCAGTCGCTGAAATGACGGCCGCAACAGGTAAGAGGCTAGACTAATATTTGACTGAGCTGCTTTTGTTTTGCGCGAGTCGTAAACTTAGATGGGCTTGTATTGTATGTGGTACAGCAGAGGTTGGATTGGAGTGGCAGTGCTAAAAGTTCTGAAGATTGTGAAGTTGGTTGTCATCTGGAGACCAATTTTTCAACGGTCAAAATTTCTGAACAAACTTGACTTAGCGCAGACATCAATGGCATGTAGGAAGAAAATATTAAGAAAACTACATTGGAAGTTTGCGGAAGAGAAGTGGAAAACGAGGATCCTGTAAAACGAGTAACTGGATGGGGTTGCGATTGGTTGCCATGCCTCATGTCTTGTCTCAAATATGCCAGATATCGTTGGCTATTCTTAGATTGACTCTGGTGAAAAAGTCGTAGCGCGTTCAAGCTCTACTTCCCACCTCGTCCGCTTCCTTGCTTGGAACTTGTTGTTTATGAGAGGATCGCTGGCGTGTGCGATCGAATGTCTCGTATGACATTAGGAATAAATATTTACGCGGACAGATGGTGGGAAATAGTATTTGCGATGTAGATGAGGCTGGCGGAGGCATGGGATTACGCTATGTGACTGACCACCCGTTGACCATATCGATCACTGTTGGTGGTCTGATATTCATCCATATATAGGCTCTCTCGTTGCCCTCTCGTCAACCTCTTGGTTCTGCTCAGGTTACGGTTACATCCGGCAGCCATTAAATCTCGCGCGATAATGCAAAGTGTCTTTCCGTTCATATTTGAAAGGCATATAAGCGAATCATTTGCTACGTATGAGATAGAAGTGACATACCGTTGCTTTCTTATTGCTAGAAGTAGTATGTATGAGGATGAAGAGTCACGTCGAAATGATTTTAACTGCATGCGGGTCGAAACGTAATTTTAGCGTTGTTTGTGTAGACGCGTTCAAGGCGAATACCGATTTTGTTTTGCAACAAAGTGCAAGAACGAGTCAGGCTCGAGGCGAAATCATTCTTTGCTTCTAATCACATATGAGATTTATCTATATGATAACAAATATACAGATACAGCAGAAGATCTATGAGTGGAAGACATAAGCGGGCGCTTTTATGCTCATCGTCTGACGGATTATCCGCTTTTCTTCGTTTCAAGGCCGTACCTAATTGGAGTTTTCATTCACGAAACAAAGCCTTTTTTT